CGCGGATAACCGCGATAAGCGCGCGAGCGGGGATTAAATTCAAACGAAACGTGGAACCTCGGGACGCGGCAGAGAGGACGGAGGAAGGATGGCCCGTCGCGGAAAATACACGCGGAATTGCGGCGCCGACGCGCTCTCTTTCTCTCTCTCGCGTGCGCGGATCTCATTCGCGTGACGCGCATTCCCACGCGTGCTCAGCGAGATCGTCGATCGAGCGGATCGATCTGTTTTTAAGCGTCATTCGCGACTTCTATCAGATTTAAATGAAAGTCCGAAAGCCCTTAAGCCAATCAGCGGCCAATCCGCCGCGAGTGTAAGCTCGCTCGCGCGCGCTTTCAATAAGTTCGCGCGTGTGATGTGCGCCGACACACGCCGCTGCGACCGTTCGTCGACATTTGGTCGACCAGCCGGCTGTTTACGCGGCGCAGATTGCCAGATAGAATTGTACGCGGGAGCGCGGCAATTGCGTTACATAGTTTATCGCACCTCGCGTTAACTCGCCACGTGGCCGCCGGGGGATTTCAACGCGGTGCCGTGCTATCCCGCTCGCTCGCTCGCTCGCTCGTTCGCTCACTCATTTACTCACTCACGGGCGCTCATAACTCGCGCGTTTTAACAATTACCGGGGCTGAACGTGCGCGAATTCGTACGGATACCGGCGAGGTGTACTTCGTTATGACGCGGCGTCGTCGTCGTTTCTCTCGCGCGCGAGGAATCGCGAAAACGGATAATTGCGTTACCAGTTATCACACCGCCGCTCGCCGCCGGCGCGGAGTTTATCGCTAACCCCGGCCGCGCTAACTCGCGGCGACCACGGCGAAGATTCCCCCACCGGCGCGTCGCACAACGCGTTCATACGCCCGATCGTCGAACTCGACTCAATGATCTTGCGATAATTTTGCCTTTGAACTTGCCTTTTTAATCGTGACCTCGAACAAGTATGAACCCGCGCTAGTCGCATCGTTGATAATAACGAGAACAGACGTGAGTTTCGAGCGTCAGTTGAAATGTAGTTTCATTTTTGTTTATTTTTGTTTACTTGTGACTTGAAACTACAAATTCTTCGATTACTGACGGAAAAATCAATTTTCGTGTCAGAAGTGTTAATATTGTTTACACAAATTATGGGCAGAACGAGTGACTTGACACCTCAGAGGATCGCAGAGGTAAAAGCGTTGTTCGATGCCGAAAATGATTCCAATCGAGTAAACATAAAATCAGCAGCTTTCCTGCTCCTCCTAACTTGCATTCTGTCAAAGAATCGAAGTGCGTCTAATAACATAGTCGGGGACTGTAAAATGTATCGGACAAGAATTTAAATTCAACAGTCACAATTTCATTTGCAAGAACCCAGTAGAAAAGCACGGAGACGAGCGATATCGGGGGGAGGGAGGGGGGTACATCTGACGTCAGCGTCAAACGCAATTTTCTCCGGTCCGAAACACGGGGGAAAAGATCGCGCGGAGGGAGTGGTCCGCGCCAAAGGATCCCGGATGTGCGCCCGTTGACTGCCAGAGAGAGAGCGAGCGATAATTGCATTGCTAATAGCGCGACGTGGGTTGGCGGTAGAAGGGTGGGTGGAGAACTTACACACAGTTTATCGCACTTTATTGCTTTACCATGAGCGCGTCGCGCACCCACCCTCCGGGCATTCTCCAGTGGCGCGTGTGTGTGCAGTTTGCGCGCTCGGGCCCGCTTAACGCTCGACGTGCAAAGACGATAACGACGTAGCACGCGCGCCGCGCGGCATAACGGCAGATATTAGATAAGCGCGCAAGCCCCGAGCTTTACGAGCTATCACTGCCCGCGCGATTTCTTTTCCCCGTCGCGCGCGTTTTTGCCTTCTCCTCCTCCTCCCCCTCTTCCACCACCGGGCTTGAACCCCCGGGACCGTCACACGTTGTTCCGCGAACGTCGGTGGCGCTCTGAATGTTCCCCTCCTCCCCCCTGCCGTTTCGTTGAGTAACAGGTAATAAAACCGCGCGAGGTCCTTTGAACATGATGATAATTAATTAGCCGCCCGTACGGACGGACGGACGATGGTGATTGAAAAATTCCACGTGTCGAGGATATCCGTCGCGAGGGCGCGAAGCCGCGCGAGCGCGCTTCGTTTTTCATTACGGTGCACCGTGTTCCGCGCAGCGCGCGAGGTGCGTCATGTACTAACTACCAATATGCACTTTAATTACGCACGCAATTACGCGCTGCTAAATTTCTTCTTTTCTTCCTTCCCTTCTTTTTAAATTTCTCCCGTTGATCATCAGCGGGGGACGTACCGCGCGAGTTTTCCGCACTCCGGTTAAATAATACATAATAATACATAAACTGATATACATTATTATACATTAATATACATAATACAATCAATACGTAAGTTAAATAATACATAATAATAAATGAAGGCTACTAATTCTCCGACCCGAGGCCGGTATTAACGTAAAGCCCGGAATACCGTCGCGCGTCCCGTCAGACGACAGCGTAATGCGATAGCGGCCGACGGAGATACGAAAAGGTCGCGTATTCGCGTGATGAGAAAAATTCCGCGGTAGGGGAAAAAATGTCCCACTAATCAATCGGATAAACGGGATAAATGGGACTGATAATAACGCTTTTAGCGTAAGCTGTTACAAAAATCTTACACTCACAACATTAATCACACGAGGACGGGACGAGAAAACAACCGGCGATCGACGACACGAAAGAAAGAGAGAGAGAGAGAGAGAGAAAGCATGCACGTGAACCGGCAATTATAGAATTTGCCGCACAAAATACCGCCACTGAAGGTTTATTTGTACATGTGACTTCGTCACGTGCACGCGCGGAAAAATATCACCGTACGAGATGTAGGCTTTATAATTCGAATCTCCATTTATATATCCGGAGCGGAGCCGGTAAACACAGCGACGGGGGCAAAAAGAGAGGGAGCGCGAACCGTCGACAACATAATCACTTTACGATTATCCGCATTAAATATTTATTTTCGCCGCGCATTTATTTATTTATTTATTTATTCAAAACCTATCCGGGGATTGGAAACATTTGAGTGCTGCATAATGCGACGCCGCCGTCGCCGCCGCCGAGGCTCCCGCTACGAGAAGGTTTATAAACTCGAGCAGCTGCGCACGGCTAAATAATACAGCCGCTTTTGTCGAACAACTAAATATCCGCACGGGATGTTTCGCCCTCCGCCAAATCTGCGTACGTATTTACGCGCGATCTCCGCGAACCGGAGCGAACTTTTCCATAAATCGGATTATCGGGAGGAACGCGCGAAATTGTGTTAAACCTATAAGACCCCGCGTAGAAAATTTCTTGGGATTTAATTCGGATCGCAGATTTCCCCAAAATAATGACGACGGGCTTCTCTAGCTGGGAAATCTCGACTTGACGGCGGGTTATGCTTGAAAGTGCAGAGATGTCTCAAATATACGATTCTAAGCGGGGAAATTTACACAGATCCTGTTGGGATCCACTCCCAACGTTTTTTCCAAAAATTCCTCCTGATTTCCATTTTATATTACGATTGAACAAAATATGCGAAACACTTTAAGTATTGCCCGAACACTTTTCTCTTACCAAAAATAAAAAATTCAATAAATAATCGCAAAATTAATTTGATATGGAACCTTCCTTTCTAACCTTCTTTCTCATGATTTTGTCAATGTTAATTTTACGACTATTTACTGATTGATTAGAATAAAAGGAAAAAGTTTAGTCAATTTTACAAGTGCGCTGAATCGATCACAAATATTATTTTCAATTTTTCCACGTGAAAGATAGAACTTTTCCCTACAATTTATTTTCGAAAGAAACTCCCCTATAATTTCTCATTTCCGAGGTTATCAGAGGTTACAGAAGGAAACGAAAAATATATTTTTGATAAAAAATCTCTCCAATTTGATCATTCCCGACACACTTTCCGGACAGGCCGTGCGCGCACACGAGATCAACGGCGATACCTTTTATGCTTGTTCGTGTAATTGATACACCCCGAATCCTCTCAGATTCAGCAAACGTCCGTCGATACGTTACCGTGAACGCGAGACGTCGATGCGAGAGACTCATGGGACGTCGGTAGCCGCCTGACGTGGACGTGAAAGGGGCAGGGGGGATAAGAGAGGAAGAAACGTACGGCGAGAAGAGAACATCGTCGTCGTGTCAAAAATTACTTTCCGTCCTAAACTTCAGCTGCATTACAAATACGCCCGTTTCCCCTTGTAAAAGTACTTCAAAGTTTCGGCCGGCGTAGATAAGGGATCTCGGGACGTCGTAAGGGAAAACTCGTAGAATCGTTTTCTAAGTTCACACACACACACACACACACACACACACGAGAAGCGGACGGGGCGAATTCTCCGGACGCGTACGAAACAAATGTGTAATTCGGTGCAGGATGTTACTGCGTTACGAAGTTCCGCCGAGTGTTAAGTGTGTATCGCCCAAGTGCGCGTAACGCAAAACGTGTACGAGATCGGAGCGGCACGTATGGGAAGGAATACTTCAAATTCGCGCGGAATTCGTCCGGAATTCTTCGCGTCTGGGTAGATCGGCGTGCGACAACGGCAGCGTTAGCTTCGCCACGTGGCGAAAAATCATTTGCCGGCACAGCGAATTTTATCTCTGCCCTAATTACGAATAATTCGCTAATTTTATTGTGCCGATTAAATTCGATCGTTGTCGCGACGAATAGTTGCAGCGGCAACGATGATTTTCGCCACAACAGTAAAATTACTTTTCTCTGTGCGGCCTCGCACGAGATGTCGTTCGAGGTTACTTATTTCGGTGAAATGGCAACGGACTATAAAAAAAAAAGAAGAAAAGCCGCACTCCTAAAGAAGATTAGTTTTATATGAGATCGATCATCCGCTGTGACTGTTTCATCATCGAAGCGACCGGAATAGACGCGAAATGTCAGGAGAGCCGCGTATGAGATTGAGATCGGATATTCGCGTCACGACGGACCGATTAAAATTAGAAGAAGCACAGAATTCGACACGCACTTTTGTGGTGTCTGTTAATGGTTATCCCTTGCCCGTCCTCTCGTTTCCACATGAGTTTCGGGGGTGGGTAGCCGTCGGCTTTGCATATGAGGGTGATGTTCTGATGCTCCCGAACCGCCACGGTGCTCTCAGTGGAAAGAGAGTCCAGTATATTCGGTGGCACTGCAACACGAAAATAACTATAATTTCTTCCGGTATATATATATAGATTTCTCATTAATCGTGAGAGGGTGGAAAGATGCTCACCGACGACTTGAAGAAAGCCTACTTGGCTGATCATGGGATTGGTGTTTACTTGGCACATATAATAACCCCGGTCATCCTGTTGCACGCCGCTGATGTGAAGCAACCAGGTCTTCTGATTATCGTGCGACACGGAAAACCTGGGTATTTTCACGACCACGTGTTTGTGAATGGTGAGCAGCATTTGACGGCCGACGTGGATCCACGCCACCTGGAAACAGAAATAGAAATCGATATTTGATTCGCCGGGCGAATTATCGAGTGATTGTCGCGCTCGTTGTGCATATTCTTGTGAATAAAATATCACGCGTTCCCCCTTTTCGTTTGCTTCCACACACACACACACGCGCGCGCGCGCACGTGACACATTTGGGCATAAAATATTCTCGTCCACCTTAACGTCATGATAAAGATCACTTGATTTAAGGGAGAAGGGGTGCGAGAGAGAAAATACTCAAACGATCTGAAACATTACGAAACATTCGCCAGCTAAGTGTGCAGATTCGTGTTTAATTCCTCAAAAAATTCAAGACGCGGACGGCTGGCGGGGCGGAGTTGGAAAAGCCGTCGCGTTGAAAATTTCAACGTCCACACTTGATACAACCCCCCAAGCGGCGCGACTTCATAAAGCAGTCTGGAAACAGCCAGTCGGCCGTTTATCGCGTCTCTGCATTGAAAATTTCCACATTAGCACATTCGCGGAGTCGCGCTGTCTCGCCGCGAAACTCGCGTCTCCGATCCGCGTCAGCGAAAAATCCCATCTCGAGTTCGGATCCGACGCGGCTTCACCGCGAGGTTTTACGATCGACGTCTCGACGATTCCTCTCTTCGAGGACGACGACATCGGGCGTCGTCGGCGTCATCGTCCAAAAAATGCTCCACAAGTGGCAAGAGAAACGAGAGACGAGGAACGAGGGGCGAGAGAAAAGATCGCGCGGCCGCCACCGCGAGCGGACATTATTACGCTCGGTATTTTACGCTCCGCCGGGGTAACTCGCCTCTAACTAAGCTCATTCCACGACAAAGCTTATGCACTTTCAAGGATTTCTGGGTTAACCCGCTCTTCGCCCCAAACCCTCTCCCGCGTCGTCTGCTCCAGCCGGGGGCTCGCCCGGTAGCTCGCGGTGCCCGTTTTTTTCTCACTTTTTTCCCCGCTTTTAGCTCTCTCCTTTTCCCCGTTTTCCTTTTTTTAAGTACACTCCCAGGGAAGTAAGACAGCGACGGGTCCCATCCGGCTTGGTTGCTTTTATCCGACGCGGCTTCGCCCTCCCTCGTTTCCCGTCCAACCGCGAGACGCCGTTGAGCGTGCGATTTCGCGAAGCGAGGGGCGTCATTTCGCGAAGCGAGAGACGTGCGAGTTGCCGATCGCGCGATGTAATCGACGTGTCCTCCCTGAGGACCCTCGTTTGCCGTCCCCGTTGCGGTTCGACGGGTTGAACGTTTGGTTAGTAGTCGCGATTTGTCACATCGCCCCGCACCGTTTGCGCCACGGAGAAAAATAATTCGTAGATTTTATGCCGTCGCAGCTGTTAGTTATTATTATGTGGATAGCAAAATGATTTGTCAAAAGTACTAATAATACTAATCGCCACCTTTACGCTGGATTGTTTCGCCGAATCTACAAATTATACTATCTCTTTTCTAAAATATAAATAATTTTCGGGAATAATATCAAATTAATTATTTTATTTTACAATCTTTATCGGTAAACGTTGTGTTTTTAAAAAAGTAAATATTTGAAAAGTAACATTTTGATTATTAACAACATTAAAACTTTGTCAAAACTTAAAAATGTTCATCAGATGTAACCAAATATGCCACAAATGCAAACAAAGCGGATAATCAGGCGCATTCATATTTACAAATTATGCCATTTGACGTTCCATGGCCTTTATTACCCCTCTGCCCGCAATCACAGACCATCACGCAAGCTAATAAACCTCCCCTCTCTCTTAGTGTAACATAATTGTTGAAAGACCCCTTACTTAATGTGGGAAAACGCTATTTTGTCCTAACAGCAAATTAAGCTTGCCCTAAGGACAAACTTCACTCAACAAATTTTCTATCCTGGCAACAAAACTGTTTCTGCTCTAATTACGAGTAATCTGCTAGACTGGCTGTGCCAACTAAATGTCAGCGCTGTCGCGACGAATACGCCAGTGGCAACGATGGTTTCGCTGTAACAGCAAAATAATTTTTTCCGTGTGTCGTCGCCCGTGCGCGAAGCTTAGTCATGAGTTAAAGTTAAAATTACAATATTAGTATTTTATGAAAATATTGCTCACATATTCATATTAATCCGCGTGTTAAGTATTAACAAAACGACCCACGTGACCACCGCCCTTGTCGACTGTTCCCGACCAAGTCGATAAATTTGCAATTAATTTTCAGCGTAAGCGTCAATTTTTCTTCTTGCTCTTTTAATCGCCGGGTTTATATAAATTAAATAATTAAGGGAGAGAGAGAGAGAGAGAGAGAGAGAGAAAGAGATAGAGAGAACGTTTGCACGTTGGACGTTGGCGTTGTAACGTTCGCGATCTCGCACAATGATTCATTCGCCGGGTCTCTCGCTTTTACTGTTTCCTTTTAGATTCGTTACTGCTGCTTGGCAACATCTGGATCCGCGGAAATGGCGCCTCTTCCGCCTTTTTTTGCTCTCTCGCTTCTTTCCCCGGCGTATATACTTCCTCAAATTAAGCCAGAAACAGCCCGTTCGGACAGGGTAAATTGTATCATTTCTACCTTCTCTCTCTCTCTCTCTCTCTGCTCTCTCCTTCAAACCGTACAAAAAATTCCGGTTTTTATTCGAAACATTCCATATGCTCCATTTCGGCGCATTTCGCGGACAACAAAATATCGGATATAATGTTTCTAAATAAAAACGCATAAAGCATATCGTTCCTCCGATAACATTTGGACCTGATATTATATACTTCGTATTTTCCAAAAGGCGCTTTCTTTCTCTCTCTCTCTCTCTCTCTCTCTCTCTGTCGATTCACTTTACCGTTACTTCTTGGTAACCGAGATCCGCGCGAGTCAATTCGCGCAAAGAAAACACCGTAAATTCAAGCGCGATATTTGATACAGAACGTAATCAACTAATTGCAACAGAAGTCAGTTGCGCGATAGTTATTTACAGTGGTGGGAACTTCATAACGGAGAGTACAAACAGCGGCGTTATTACATTTGTCGGCCGGTAGCCTCGGTCGTGAGCCGCAACCGCGTTTCGACCTGCCGAAAATTTAATTCGAAACGCTGCTCAACGAGGACGAATTACGTTTAATCGACTTATCGCGCGGTACTAAATCCGACGAGACATTTACATTTGGGAAGAGCTGCCTTCCTCTACCCTCCCTTCCACTCACTCCCCGGTTTTACTCCTCCGAGCCTGAATTCTTTCCCCTCAGGTATTTCACCTAAGAACAACTCGGCGAGCAACTCCTTCCAGAATTGTTCTCCTACGTACCGCTTCTCCTTTTCGTCGGCGTTCGTCGGGTAAGCAAAAGTTTCAGGTACGGAAATCACAGTACATCCTGGGAAAGTTCTTTAAACAGTCAGACGCCACTGACGGCTCTCCTAACGAAGAGCCGAGAAGATGGATGGTGGCGGATCTGAAGCTCTTGTCTGCCAACAGGATTTGCCGGTTCCCGAGGATCTCTGAACTCGTCAGATTTCGCCTCGGCTCGCTCATGTAATTCCGAGATTCACCGCGCGCGCGCGTACGAAGATGCAGTCGTCTCGACTTTTCGACAGATTTTCTTCCCTGCGCCTTCGCGTACGCGAAGAACAAAAAAAAGAAGAGCGCGGCCAGTGTCAGGATCACAGCCTGGATCCCCGTCCCGATCCTCCCGAGGATCTTTTTGCGACCGCTTTCTTCCTCGAGAGTCGAAATTTCGCTCCCACATTTGGTTCACTTAGTTCTGCATTAAAGCTGCGATCCGATTCATGCTTACAGCGCCGCAATCACTCCATCTTTCTTTGACATGCGATTAACCGGATCGGAGTCTAAATTTTCAAGCGGGGTAAACGGGAATAACTTTCCATTTTGTAGCATGAAAGGGATAGAAGCATAATAGAACACCTGATGGAAACCCAATGATACCTAAATGATGAATAAAGAAATGCCAAATAAATACCTAGATTAAGGTATAGACTAAGTGGACTTAATGTAGAACTAAAATTTCGAGTCGACTCGTTAGCGTCCGTTTATCTACAAATCGAGAGTTCCTTCGTCCTTCCTCCTCCTCCCCTTCGTCCACTGTCGCTTTCCCGCGACACGTCGAGATTAACTTGACCATCGTATAATACCGCGCGAACTTGCGAGATTAATAAGTTTCATATTACGTACATCTCTCGGGGCAATTTTCGCGACGGTTTATAAGCGAGCTTCGCCGAGGTGGAGCGGCGCTCTCTCTCTCTCTCTCTCTCGCCGAGGAAAGTTGCCTCCCGACGACGAGGATCTCTCCGCCGGAAAAGTCAGCATGGCGCGATACGAGAAACTTTCGTAGTCACGCACCGCGGATGGCTCCTAAGTTCTAACGAAGAGGAAAGAAGTCGCGCACGTGCGGGAAGATGAGTGCTCTCTTATATAAACGCGTTCGCTGGAATCTTGAAAATTAAATAGGCGACGCGATAAAAGCGACGACGACGGCGACGGCGTCGGCGAATGTGGCGGCGACGACGGCGACAACAATGGCGGGTGCGCGATAATACGATCTGTACGTGTAAATCGGCAGTTAATATCCGTACTTTGCGCGTGCGACTGTATCTGCAAGTTCGATGTAGAACTAAAATTCCGACTCGCGAATAACGTCGATTCGATTCGCGCGAAATGGCGCGGCGATTAGCGATTGATCGAAATAATATATAACGACATTGATACGGGCGACATTTTTATCGCTTCTGTCCGGACGATATCGGATTCCCGATATATAGGATAGCTGTCTGCTAATTTCTTACTTTAATTACCCGGCGGAATTAATTAATTTCTTGACCGAGCTGTGAAATCCGATATGCACTCGCGCGTGCAATAACGACTCTCTCTCTCTCTCTCTCTCTCTCTCTCTGTATACCGCTGTATACGTGTTACGATGGGATTGTTAGGATTATCGAGAAAAAAAGGAAAAAAAATGTTCGCCCGTTCTGAAATTCGTCGCTTCTAGAGAGGCGGATAAATGCGAGCCTCAAAGCTGCACGCGCGTCGTGTCGTCG